TTAGATTGATATATGTATTCTAAGCCTACTCTGTTACTGTTAGAACCTTTAAAACAGTATTGAGCTTAACATTTGTATTTATTGTTAGTTAAAAGTTAGGCTCTTGAAAGTTTTTAGGCTACTTTTTTCTTAGTGATAAGTTAAAAGGTCATTTTAATTATTTAATGATATTGAAATATAGTTAATATTATTAACTGGAAACAACTAGTTTTCTCAATTTTGCTATTGTTTCATATATTGGAATATTTAATTTTGGAATCATTGTATTTAAAATATTTGATTTGTTATTTTTGTAGTTCATATAAATCCCTAATTTCCTCTTTTACATTCAATTTTTTTCTGTCTTTTGCAATTTCTAATATTGTTAAGTTTTCTTCAATATTAGTAAACTTAGGCCTATGTTTGGAATTAAGTAAATGATCTGCAAAATTTGATTTCATTGATGTTTTTTTCTTCGATTTATATGCTTGTATGTGTTCGTTGAATCTAACTTTAAAATTTCGATAGGTTTGTCCAATTAGTATTTGTCACAGTCAGAGCAATTAATTTTGTAGATACCAGATGCATTGTATATGTTTGCTGTAGGATTGTTGGTTTTATTGTGTATAATTTTAAAAATGTTATTTTTTTTCTTAAACTTAATTTGATTGGAGTGTGTTTGAATGTTTTCCTTATTGCTTTGTTTAAATTTTTGTTGTATGGGACGCACATGAATTTCTTTTCTTCTTCGTGTTTTACATTGTTTTCTAAATTAGAGTTTAATTCATTTCTTTTCTTAATTTTTTTCTTGATCATATTATCAATCATTTTGCTTCTATATCCATTTTTTTCAGCTAGATATTTTATGGTTTAGAAGTTTCACTTGGGTACTAAGTTTATTAATGTTTAATCTTTATTTATATATAGTAGCCCTATTAAAACATATTTCAGTAATAAAAATCATTGTAAAATGTTAGAACAAAACTGTATATTTTTTATGATAGAAAATGTAAACATAAACATTTGACAGATGTTTCAGATAATTGTTAATATTAAATTATAAGCCAGGTATAATTGAAATATATTACAGTCTTCCGCTCTAAAAAGAGAACAACAGGTTGGATTCTTGGTGTGGAAAACTCATAACTGATACTTGTGAGGTGTATAGCTTAATAGCTTACTGGAGTCGTTGAAAAGTAGTAGGTTTTGTCTGGAACTGGAGTAGAGTATTCAAAATGACCAGGAGCGGGAGTTAAATACTGAACAGGAGGGAAATCAACTAGGGGTTTTAGAATTGACGTGGTCGATTTGTAACCGTTTGGAATGGAATACTCGTAGCTCACTGTCGGGGGAGAAGGAGTTAAGTACACATTGGGCTTCAATGGTTTTACCGGGGCAGGAGGTACATATTCACAGCTAACTGCCTTCAGTGGAGTTGGAGTAGAATGTTCAAGTATGGGGGAGCAAAAGTCATGTACTGGACTGGTTTCAGTGGTACAATTGGTGTTTTGAGAACTGTCGGCACTACAGGTTTCACAGCTGGGTAAGAGTACTCGTAGAAGACAGCCGAGGCGGGTGGTGTGTAAGTTACTGGTCTCAGTGGCATTTCGTAGGTTATTAGTTGAACTGGAACTGCGGAGTAGCCGTAGCTCACAGGTTTGACAGAGGGTGGTGGAGGTGGCGAGGAGCATGTTACAGCAGGCTTCACTGATGGAGGAGCTAGGGTGGAAGTGAATAGTTGAGAATCTATGGGAATTTTCAGTTTTTGCAACCAATCTCGACCTAGTAATGGATTAATAATGTTATCAACTACAAACAAGTTCAGGTTTGTAGATTTGTTGTTGTACCATACTTCAACTTCGGCGACACCCAGAGGTTAAAAAAATTTCACCGGTAACTGTTTTAAATTTTGTCGATGTTGGCTGAAGAGTTCTGTTGGGGCAAACCTTTAGAAGGTCTTTGTTATTAATTATCGTTACTGGACTCCCAGTGTCGATTTCAAAGGTAAGCTTACCATTTTCAATGTTCAGTGTCGTCGTGAATTTTTCCGTTGGTGAAGTAGTGGACGCAATACGGGCAGGAACAATTCTTCCAATAGAAAACTCATCATGTTCTATGTTTTCTTGAATTATGGTATTTACCTTGCGATGATTTGATCTTGTTAAGGTTGATATGCACCTTATGGTAACTTTAGAGATATGACCACGCTTATGGCATAAACTACAAAATAAGGTGTTAATGTCCCTGTCACACGATTTTGCCAAGTGTTTACTCTCACCACAACGCACACATAGTCCTGCAATTCCTAGGCGCTCATACAAGTTCTTACGATTATTTTGACTTTGTTTTGCTGATGAGTTATCACAATCATAGTTTTTTGTACGAAAAACTCTAGAAACTTTATTTATTGAATCAGTTCCATGAAATGTTTTGCAACCTTTTTTTGATGCTTCAAGAGTCAGAGCCTGTTCATACGCACCTTCAAAAGTCAATTCTGGATGCTGAAGAATCTTTTCACTGATTGTTTCATCTCGTAATCTTCGAATGAATTGTGCACGTAAAAACAAATCGACCACTGAAGATTCACAAGAAGGGCAGTTGAAATTGCATGTGAATGTAAGTCTTCTTAGTGCAGCTACAAACTCAGATATGGACTCTGTGGGACTTTGAACACGTGATAGAAAAGTATGTTGTTGTACAAAAACATTGGGTTTTGGACATAAATGTTTTTCAACTATTTTAATCAATTCGTCGTAGCTTTTGTTTGATGGTAGGTCTGGAGATACATGACTTCCTAGTAGTTGATAATGTTTTGGTCCAATACAATTGATCAATATTCTTGCTTTGATTTGTTGTACTTAATCTTCGGTTCCTATAATGTTTTTCAAATGAAAGTAATTTTCAAGTCGTTGTCTATATGAATTGAAATCTTCAAGATTTTCATCAAATGAATCGAAATTGAATGATGTGATTACGTTCTGGGGTGTTGAAGGTTTTGGATTCTGTGCATGGGTTTGTATGATTTCATTAAACTTGTTCAAAAGCATAGCCTGTTGTTGAACAAACGTTGATAAAATTGTTGAAAGGTCTTCAGTCATGATAGTATGTTAATTTCAATGTTTATCCTGTAGAAAAGTGTATGAGTCATTAAAAATCCCGTCCTCGTCGCCACTAAAACATATTTCAGTAATAAAAATCATTGTAAAATGTTAGAACAAAACTGTATATTTTTTATGATAGAAAATGTAAACATAAACATTTGACAGATGTTTCAGATAATTGTTAATATTAAATTATAAGCCAGGTATAATTGAAATATATTACACCTATTATTATATTTTTCATATTTATATGTTTATATATATACACATGTCTGTGAACCCGATAAGTTGAGTAATTTTTCTCCGATTTCAATTAAATTTGGTTTAAATGTATAAGGCAGGATAAAATTAAATGAGTTCGTGTACCAGCATGATCGAACCATGGGAACGGGGTTTTACGGGGGGGGTTTAATGGGGTAAAAAACAGTTTTTCTAATTTTTGACCATCAAAACACAAAATTTCCCAATTTATCTCTAGACCTTTTTAAAGAGCTCAAAAAAAAGTATATCAAAGTGTTTTTTTACGGTTTTTGGTAATTAAAAAGATCCATAACAATAACATGGTAATTTCAAATTTACAATATTTTGGAATTTTCTCCGTAACCGTTAGGCGCATAGTAACGCTTCAATATACTAAATTATTTGTTTTTTTAAGCTCTACAATATGGTTTGGAAAGTGTTTGTGAAATTTTGCGTTTTAAGGGTCAAAAATGGGAAAAAACCCATTTTTACCCCATAAAACCCCCCATAAACACCCGTTCCCATAGTCCGATCATGCTGGTTCGCGAACTTGTTAGAATAAATGTAGGCTTACACGTTTATACCAAAATTTATCAAAATCAGATCATTTTTGCTCGAGTTATCGCGCTAACGGACACACACACACATATATACTGTACTGTTAATATATACTGTATATGAATTTGAACGGACAGTATTTTTGGCCTCTAGGGACCTCAAAACGAAAAAGAAATCGGTCCTGGGTCCAGTACCATGAATACTACAGTAATAGCTTTATTCCCTATGGGAAATTCGCTAATAGGGAATACATGTGATATTTTAGTGTAAATCCAATCAGCCAAATGGAAATTCGCTTAGTCTGCAGGTTTGTTAGCTGCGGAGGGGGTATTTTTACTATTTTATTTGATTTAACTGTTTTAAATTGTAGGCCTAACTTACCTGTCTTATTTAATCTTTTTTACAATAACAATTTATGTATTAACATATACTCTGTTGTATTATCATATACTGTATGCCCAATCTTATTTGCGTCCTCTGTCTTAATAATTCTCTGTGCTTAAAGTTAAAGTCAATAATTAAAATTAGACTTGAAGAATCTTTAAATAAACTAGACATCATGTAATCGGTATTTACCTTAAACAATAGCGAGTCTCTCTTCGCTAGTGATTGCCTCTCCATTAGTGCCGTTTTTTCTGATATCAACATCGATCATTGACATTCAAACTAATCTTGAGTGAATCTAAAATATGTTCTAAATCTATCTTCATTCACCTCCAGATCATGCATCAAGTGATGGTATTCTCCAAAACTCTTCCTGTTATTTTTATTAATAGGATAAATCCACTTACTCCTTTTTGTTGACGAGTATAACAATATTAAGTCGTCATCACTATCGATATCACTCAATTCATTCATAAATAAAAAAGAAAACCCGGCCTCACACCATATACACTAATAACATAATAATAATAATACACTTAGGTACACCATAAATAAGACTTAACTGTTCTGACTCCGAGTGAACGTGGACATTTCGGAAGTTTCTGTGCTGTGTGGAAGGACCACGTACTAGATATCCAGGACGTCCCGTGTGAAAAGGCCTTTAAGCCTTCAAATGTTTTTTTAAATAAGCTCAATATTTGTGTAAAGTTAAAAAAATTACTATCTCTGTTGTTTCAGCACTTATGGAGCTTTCCGCAAGGCCAATGTAGTTTGCATGTTGGCCATACAAAAAATCAATAAAGAACAACTGTTTAGTGGAAATGATGAGGATTCTATGTTAAGACACAGGTAATTAAAAACTACCTTTTTAACTAGGTATTAAGAAAAAAAAAATATAATGATGTTCAAAATAATGTAATTGATTCTTACTTCTTATTGTGTATGACATTTTTCCATAGCAATTTGTTTAGAATCATTGATGTTATGTTTGAAGATTGAAGAAGGACAAAGCTAGTCTGGTGAAGATGTCGTCCAGTGTGACAGAGCAGCTATTGTCTATCAGTCGACAGCTAGCAGACACGACCCAGCAAAGCTCCAACACCCTGGACACTCTAGGTATGATGGCTAACACAGCAAAACAACCTTCTTATTGACTAAAATCACCACTGTCTTTTACTAACAGAACAATAGAGTTCAGAGGGTTTTTTTAATACATGTTTAAATTCAAAGTCCTGCGAATACCACAAATGTACCCACATTTGAGATGCCCATCTCGGGCGCGTAATTTTTGGTAGCCAGTTACCAGTTAGTTTTTTTTTACAGTTACCTCTTAACTGTAGGCCTATCTGTTTGTATCCAACCAGGAAAACTTGATTTTCTATTTGCAGATAAAAGAAATTTAGAATAGCTGTGTCATAAAGTTATTAAAGTTGTAATCATTTCACCAGTAATTCATATATTCATAATAAATGATTTATTTTATATTCTGTCAACCCTACCTTCAGAATATTACATGCTATTCAATACATATTTTCATAAACTACGGACGTTTTAACGTGAAGTGTATTAGTAGGCCTACACCTTGAATGCAGCCATAATCATCACAGACTTGTGGGTCCCTGTGATATTGTCATGTTCAACAATGTAAAGCTACCGTCCTAATTTTTGTGACTTTACTTTGTAAAGTATTACTTGTTTTGTGGATTGATTTGAGTGTTTTTCTCAGTGAACTCGTCTGGCAACGTGACTGGTACACAGCAAGAGTTGCGAGACACTGGAAGTGTCATTACCCAATCAGGGAAACTCCTTGCTAAGTATGGGCGCCGGGAGTTCACTGACAAATGCACCATTCTTTTTGCTTTTGTATTTTTTATAGCTTGTGTATTGTATATTGTACAAAAAAGGTTATTTTGAAAATAATAATTTTTATTTACGATTGTTAATGTGAAGTTTCTCTCTCAACTTCCTTTTCTGACACTTAACAACAAGGTGTTACATTTGAAGAACTAATTGAAGTAAATCAACCCTTTTTTCTTGGTACATAGCATTTGCATTAGAGGGAATTTGCTACCTTGTCACAAGCACGTTGCAATTCTATCGTTAATTTAGAAATGCAGTATAAAACAATTATTTAATGACCAAATTAAAAATCACTCGCTAATGAGAGAAAGAGAAATGAATGCGACTTTTTGAGTGATTTATCATCATTTTGAGAGACACTACTCCCTCAAAAAATGGGAGGCCAGTTTGCTCAGGATTGCTTTCAGAGTCCTCTTAAATCTTCTTGAATGGATCTCCAGACTGTTTCTGGCTAAATATCAATCAATTTTATGATGTAGTTTTTTACCTTTTAGCTGGATTTTTTCTTCTCGTGTGAAAAACTCTTGTTCAGTATGAAAGTTTCTAGTTATTTAAAATTTGTTGAGGTTACTAACAGCAGAAGATATTTAATAATTAATGCAGTAAAAATAAGAGAAAAATCCCATAAACCTAAAAAAATTAGCACAACCGGGGAATTTGGTACAGATGTTGGGTGTACCTTCCCTTTGAACATACTAAAAGTCCCCTAAAATTGAAGCTGTGCTACGGCCGCAATATTGGAAAATGGCGGCATATTTCTGTATTTTTTGCTATAGTGACTTTATTATTAGAGATACAGGAAAAAGCTAAATATACCAAATTTAGTCCATCTAAAAATACACATTTTTTGTATTTATCATCTTTCTCGAAACCCAACGGCTTTTGAGTTATTTATGATCAAGTATATTTAGTTTTTTCTATTCATCAAAAGTAGGTGAAACACATGGAAATTGACTGTTACTTTCAAGGATTAGGATAATTTATCCCATTTAGTTAAATAGTGTGATACTATAAAATCTTAAAATGTAAGCTTATTTTATGAGTAAAACAACTCCGCCACAGCAAACCTGCAGACTCAGCAAATTTCCATTTGATTGGATGTTTTATTAAATGTATATAAATAAAATTAGATTCAACAGGTACCACGGTTTGCTGCTACAGGTAGGTTATTATAGTGTGTTTTTTTTTGTAAAATATCAATAACTTAGTATAAAATAACTAATTTTCCAAGTTTGATCATAATAAATCTATAAACAAACAAACTACAACAGCTAACTAATTCATAAGAATAGCATGGTAGTTTAAGATTTACAATTTACAAATTTAAATATACAAATTTTGGTTGTGTTTACTAAAAATATGGCGATTATTCGTCACGATTCGAATACTAACCGAAGGGGTTTTCAAAAGGAGATGAAGCAAGTTATTTAAGTACTGTAATATTAACTTGCACCAAGTATCGGAAATATTGTATGCAGTGAGGTAATCAACCATATTTTGTAAAGTACGCAATAGTCATATTAATATTTTATACTAATTTTTACCCATTTTATGAATTAACATTTTAATATTTTGATAGCACTACAACTATTACTCTGATATCAACTAAGTGGGATGAATAATTGTCGTAAACCTTGAAAGTAACCGTCGATTGCGATGGGTTTCACTGATTTTTTATAAATAAAACTAACTATACTTAGTTTTCAAACTATACTATACCATACTTAATTAGTCACCAACATGAACTAGAAACAGCCTTCCAAATTTACAATGGGATGTCAAGTACCGTATAGTTAGTTAGTGTGGTGGTGCCATCAAAATACTAAAATGTTAACTATTAAATGGGTAAAAAATGAGGATAAAATATTAATATGACTATTGCGTACTTTACATAATATGGTAGATTACCTCACTGCATACAATATTTTCGGTGCTTGGTACGAATTAATATTACTTAAATAACAGGCTCCATCTCCTTTTGAAAACCCATTTGGTTAATATTCTAATCGTGACGAATAATCGCCATCTTTTTAGTAAACACAACCAAAATTTGTATATTCAAATTTGTAAATTGTAAATTTAAAACTCCTATGCTATTCTTATGAATTAGTTAACTGTTGTAGTTTGCTTGTTAATAGATATATTATGATCAAACTTGGAAAATTAGCTATTAGCGAATTTCCCTATAGGGAAGTAGCTATTACCGTAGGTCTCATGGTAAGACCTAGGCCTGGGACCGATTTACTTTTTCATTTTGATGTCCCCAGAGGCCAAAAACACCATTCGTTCAAATTTGTATATATCTATATATAGAGATTTATATATATATGTGTCCATCCGCACGATAACTTGAGTAATTTTTGTCTTATTTTGATAAAATTTGGTTTGAAGGTGTAAGGCAGGATAAACTTGAATGAGTTCGGGAACCAGCATGATCGGACTATGGGAACGGGGGTTTATGGGGGGTTTTATGGGGTAAAAATAGGTTTTCCCATTTTTGACCCTAAAAACACAAAATTTCACAATTTCTTTCTAAACCATTTTGTAGAGTTAAAAAACAAAGGTTTGCTGTGGCGGAGTTGTTTTACTCATTAAATAAGCTTACATTTTAAGATTTTATAGTATCACACTATTTAACTAAATGGGATAAATTATCATAATCCTTTAAAAGTAACGGTCAATTTCCATGTGTTTCACCTACTTTTGATAAATAGAAAAAACTAAATATACTTGATCATAAATAACTCAAAAGCCGTTGGGTTTTGAGAAAGATGATAAATACAAAAAATGTGTATTTTTAGATGGACTAAATTTTGTATATTTAGCTTTTTCCTGTATCTCTAATAATAAAGTCACTATAGCGAAAAATACAGAAATATGCCGCCATTTTCCAACATGGCGGCCGTAGCACAGCTTCAATTTTAGGGGACTTTTAGTATGTTCAAAAGGAAGGTACACCCAACATCTGTACCAAATTCCCCGGTTGTGCTAATTTTTTTTTGGGTCAAAACATATTTTTATTGTACTAAATGATTATATTATTTCTCTTAAATGATCATATGTGCTTGGCTGTTTATTTTAAATTCTTAAAAACAAAACATCTGAATGCACTCTTCTGGGCTTTTAGTTGTTTAATAACAACTGTGAAGAGAAAACCCAGTCTCCGACTGTTACCCTGTTACCTCGGATGACTCTCAAAGTATTTCTGTACAAAAATATTTGAATTCCCTCCCATCATGACCTTGTCCATGTCTACAATTAATTAATTATCTAAAACTAATTACACCCATTCTAACTGGCTGGGTAGCTGAGTGGTTATAGTACTCGCCTAGTAATCAAAAGATCGCCGGTTCGATCCTGAGAAAAGTCAGTAGCTTTTTGATGGTTCGAAACTGGACCCAGCTGTTCCTGATCATTGGGCTTTAAATAAATGATCCTGACTAATGAAACCACTGATCTTAGTCAGTCTGATCTACACAGGTCATCACACACCATTCTACACTCATCCTTCACTCATATTTGGGTTAAAATACGCACCTAGATGGCGTCCCCATCTCAATAAATGATAATTGATACACTCATAGTGGGTGCATATCCAACTCACTTAATTCCCCTAGTGTATCTTGAGTTTAAGATGTACAGTAGACCTAAATATTTGTTTTGATGCTCCATGAATCGAGGAAGTAGGTTTTTAAGTAACTTGTGTCCGTGTGTCAAAATGTAGATGGTAGTCTAATTTTCATAAAATTTTGACTTTGTAAACGAAACAGTGACATGTAAATTAAAATACATAAAAGACAAAATGGTAACATCCCGATCTCTGAAAAAATGTGTGTGCGTGCTTCAATGATAACAAAAATACAAGGTAAAAAAAGTTTGATCTCAGTCTTAGGATTGAAAAAGCATTTGTCATTTTCTATTGCTGCTTATTAACAAATTAATGTAAGCTGCTTTATTTTGAGTCATCTAATCAAGCAAGCACAACAGTTTTGCATTTTTTAGTAAGTAGTTATTTTGTAAACTAAATATTGGTTGCTACTTAATAAGAAATTAAAAAAAATACTTACTTCCTGAATAAAGTAGGCATTTTTATTTTTATCCAATTTCACTACTTACTTTTGTTAACTTTCCTTGTAAATAACACAAATTTAAATCAACTTTAAAAACGGTTTCTACAATATTTGAATGTGTTCTACAATACAATTATAATACTTACAACTTTAAATTACAAATTTTCTTGGAGCTTCAAATTGAGGTTGAAAAAGAATGTTACAAAATTAGTTCTCACAATTCTTTATTGATACAACTGTAAAGTGTTATATCTTGAATGACTAGACTAATAAAAGGTTATATTAAAAAATTCATGAACAATTGAGAATTTCAAGCTAGTTTAATTAGTCAGATATGTCCATCCAAAACGCTTTATCCTCATACAAGTTAATCTATTAGGAGTTATTTTAATAACATGTTAAAATCATGTGAAAATAGTTGACTAACAAACAAAAAGCAAAGAATAACAACTTATTAAAAAAATAAATATACCCTAAGCTATTGCTAATTAATCAAAATAGTATAGTGTAGTATTGAATACTATCTGTGAGATTTATACTAACATAAATAGTGTCAACAGAAGTAATGTCTACCCTATAATAATAATAACAATAAATTATTGAACTTATTTCTTGGAAGCTAATGTGAACTTAAATAGTAAACACAATATTATTAAATAGCTTCTTCCCTATATGGGAAATTTTCTAAAACACTCTTTAATAAAAAAACATCATCCTATCGAGTTTACATTTACTGTCAATATATTTCATGAATAACTGCTAACGTCTAACTTTTTATGTGTGGTAAAATGCATTATTTTTATGTTTCATGATTATTTACTATTAAGTTGACACAAAAAAGTAATTTTTTTGATTAAATACATAACTCATTTTAACATCACTTTCTTTAAGATTTATGACATTCTACTATTTTTGTTCACAAAATAAAATAAAAAACAACATAATATTAAACTTGAAATTTATGACGACAATGGAAGCACATTGTTGTGATTACAAAAATACCACTTCTAGTTTTTTTTTACTATAATGGGATTACAGTATTTACAAAACAATAACTCTTATATCTTTGGTTTGCTAGAACTTTACATTGACTCTACATAGCCTACTGTGAGGTGCTGAGGTTTGTCCTGAATATTGTACAAAACTACACTGAGAACATATGAAAAGATTCAATTACCCTGACTCTTAAGGCAACTTTTCTACAGCTTGCGCAAAAGTTTAACATCTTATTAATTTACAAGTCCTTTTTACAATGGTCCTTTATGTTAGTTCCTTTATTTGTAAAGCTTAGCTGGTAAATTGCAAGGAACTAGCATGTTTTGGTACATATTGTGATTGTTACTTGTAGCTATTATACAGGCAATCTATATTTTTATACTCTAAGATTGAGTGTGCGTTAACTCTCAAAAAGAAGATAATTTACAAATGGTTGCCGGTTAGTTACCAATGTTCCTCAGCATTGTTCAATGATGCCAACCATTTGTTCAGGTACTGGATAGCACCCATGCTAAACTCTTTGGTGTCTGTTTTGTTGTCATCTTTTTTTCTTTATTTTGCAATCGCTTTCTGTTTCTGAAACATACACGACAAAATCAAACATTTGATCAATATTAGAAGTAGAAAAGCCAAAAAGTATTATTGTAGCTAATTTGTGAAGTTTGCATCTACCCATTAAAAACCAATTCCAAAACATGGAACTGATTCATTATTTGGTATACAAGCCAAACCAAAATGAGTTCTTAAATTCTCATCCGACTCTTATTTTTATATATTTTTTCAGAACTTAAGGAATTTAATCGTCATCTTAAGTAAATAATTAATTTAATATAATTTAAATGAATAAATGACAAATTTTGAAGAATAAATTAGCTGCTCAGCCACACTATTTTGAATGTTAAATTTTTACTGGTATATTTGTATTTTTAGAGCATGGTAACAAAATTTAAGGATAACCTATCATTTGCCACTAAAACAGGCAACAGCAGATACAGTGTCCAAGACATTTTTAAAAGTTAAAACTAGTAGATGAGTAGATGATTGTTAGTTTTAGCCTATATGTCAATTATAGGTGATTTATGTTAGTTATTTAGGCACTTTGGTATTATCCGGAGGCCACCCTTATACAGCGCGCTGCGGCGGTTATAATAGGTTGGGTTATCATAAATATGTTTGTAGGACTTTCCTTGTTTCGTTATGAATCGAACGATACCAGATGAGTCATACTTTCGCCCACCAAATCCCCTCCAAGTAGGCCAAGGTCAGGTTGTTGACCTTGGTCATCACCTGTCACTGTCTGTTTCTGGGGTATTTCGCGGGCAAAAGTATGACTCATCTGGTATCGTTAGATTCATAATGAAACAAGGAAAGGCCTACAAACATATTTATGATAGATCCTAACATAACGGATAATACCAAGGTACCGTTATTTATGAATGTTAATTCAAAGTAATAGGAAATGTCAGTTGAATGAATATCCGGGGATAAAATGTATCTACCTCATCTAATATCATACAAAAAATTGTCTGTATAGTTGTTTGTTAATACTATGAATTGCATTGGAGACAATAATAATATCTTTTAATTATTGCATACTTCTCATAATTGATCAAAACTTCTTTGTTTATTTAAACAAAAGTTTTATACAAATGATTTATCTGTGGCAGAAATAACTGTCACTCCCAGGCACCTGTTGGATGATTGTGAGGCAGCTGGGTGAAAGGTAACAATTAGAGATTTCCCTCTACAGTGGAACCTCAATTAACCCCCCCCCCCCCCACCCAGTACTTTGATTTTATTTCACTGGATGAACGTTGAACAAGAACAACCTACAAAAATAAAAGTTCTATATTAATCTTGTATGAATTAATTTAAACTAGAGGTCGTCCAGTGGTCGAAAACTCGACCATAAATATGTACAATTGGATTTTTAGCTAGAAGCGGTTGAGGTGTAGTGGAAGGTGGAATATCTTTGCGGATGAACATTTTTGGCTGTGAGTGCGATCCATAGTAGTACGGTAATATAGATAGTATAATAATAATAATAGATAGTAGTAACATCGATGGTGTTAGCATTGACTATTGGATACAGAAAAAGACATCCCATTTATATGGATCAGCTGTCACCAATTTTTTACTAACAAAGAATGTAATTGTGTGAGCCAGTCACAGAATGTGCTAGTGTCTAAAATTCTATTTTCTACCTTATTTTTGTTACTTACATAGTTGATGGGTCATTACAGTTGCTATAGCTCATAATAAGTCGGTCCATCAGTTTGACTTGGTAAAAACCATCGTGTATTCGTCAGAAATCAGTAATTTAGATCAGCGCAATCTGTTGGTGGCTCACATCAACTAAGACAAATTTGATAAAAAAAAACCTGGCTACAACTTTAACATGGGGATGGAATGTCTTTGGTGTAGGTTATATACATCGATGGTGCGATCATGTGTTTTATGTTCCCATGTCAATTTTTAAGGTCAAATCAAAACAAACAAACCGGCATGTTGTCAATTAGGGACAATGTTGTATTACTTACGAAAGAAATTTCATCTAAGATCAAATAAATTAATTTATTATGTCATTGTCTGATTTATTAGAAAACATTCAGTATTTAGGCTACTGCATTTTATAAACCAAACTGGAATCTTGCTTCCTTGGCCTATCGTAAGTTATAACGTTTTCAGAATCGTAAATCATCATTATGTCCCAACAGTTTATCATGTGTATCCCAGTCACGGCAACTACATTATTCTATAATGATCAAAATTAATTTTGCAATTATTCTATAATGATCAAAATTAATTTTGCAAGAAGATTCAATATTTTAATATCTGCTCATGTTAAATTAATTATTTTCAAAGCAACCCTCACTTAATTTGAGGCAATAATTTAATTAATTTAATTTTTTAATTTGAAGGTGAGTCGGTGGCTCAGTCGGTAGCGTCGCGGACTTCGGGCTCAAGACAGCGATGTTGTGGGTTCGGATCCTGGTCGCTGCCACTAAAATTTATCAGTACAGATCACCTTTGTACTGTACCAGCTCACTCCTTGCTTTGCTGTAAACGTTCCATGCACGGGCGCTTAGTCTATGTAGACGGGCAAATGCAAGGTTAAAAGAGGCCGCCAACCTCTTAAAAAAAAAAATAAATAAATAAAATAAAATAATTAAATAACAATTTATTCATTAGTTGATTTGGAATTAGTAATCATGTCTCTATTTCACAGTAAATATTCTCTAATGACAAAGTGATTTTATTGAAGTAGAGTAGGCCTAAGTATATTTTATTAACTATTGTCAAATTCCAAGAATATATTATGCCAGTTTGTTTGTTTTGATTTAGCCTAAAAATTAATGAACACATGATAGCACTAAAAAGGTTCATCTTCAATCAAAGGTATTAGCAAATTTTGCGTAGCATATGTAATCTTTGGTATTAGGTATTCCACCACAGCTTAACCGCTTCTAGCTAAAAAATCCAATTGCACTGTACAGACTTCTTTATTTTTCACCCCATACTGTAAATAAAACATGTGATTAGAGTTTCTTACATTTGTTTTGATTTTCTTTTTGCATATTTCGTTGTTATTTCGTCACCAGCATGGCAACCCATAAAGCCCATTTTTTTTTAAATTTCAAATTAATTTTTTGTACTTATCTTTGAGCCTATTTTAATTTATAAAGAGATTCTGCACACCTACAGGAAAATAGCTTTCTAACGGTATGCGTAGAATTTCCCTACGATGCACACAAGCTGAGAAAAAAGGTTTTAAAGAAACATACTTGCCTATTAATATATAGATAGATATTAATATTTATTATTCACTTGTTTAGGGTTTAATTTCTTCCGAAACGTGTTAAATCAACTTGCTGTACAGGTTATAACTGGATTACTGTTATCTGTCTATTTGCTTAACTGTCACACTCCCAGTCCCAAGGGGTGACGATTAATAGAGGTTATACTGTACTAGAATTCCACCAGACTCTAAATATCCATTAAGGAATTAAGAGTTGTTGTAGGGGATGCGATAGGCAAGGGCTGGCCACGTGGTCGGGACACGATAGCTCTGATAAGCCGCTATGTACTCTTTCCCAGGACATACCTCATACTATCCTTTCGACGTAGTTGCCAGGGAAGGTGCCCAAGTAGCCGGTGCGCTGGCTAGAGCCAACATACCAGCCGTCGTCACACTTCTCCATCACGTACACCGTCTCCCCCTCCACCAACTCCAGCTCATCCTCGTTCTGTGGCTTGTAGTTGTACAAGACACGATACCTACGACAGACACGTTCTTAACATACTTACATAACAGACACACACATTCTTAATTACATAACACTTAACTAAAATGTTGACATCTTAGTTCTGATTCTGATTCTGCATTAAAACGAAAGATTTCCTCATTAATTACTACCATTGATTGAATTTATTTCATAACATAAATTTTCCTTATCGGGTTTATTTATAGCAGTATTGCCTTTTCAAATTTGTCCTATACAAATATTTGTCAGTAAAGTGAAAGGTTTTGGACTGTAAAATTCAAATTACAATTTATGTATATGACACTATTGTATTTCTTAAAGAAACCTGAGTAAAATGGATTGATTTTATTTTACTTATTTGTAAAGAGGTTTTCAGCCTCTTTTTACAGCCTCTTTTTTTTAGTTTATCTGTTCACATGGGCCACAAAGACCTGAGGTTGAAACGTATTGAGCAAAGCTAAGAAAAGCTGATACAGAAGAAAAACTGACAAACTGTCAAATTGGTTTTACAATCTGTTGCACTACCCACTGACACTCACTATTGCACTCTACTCGTACACTACTCACTGTTGCACACTACTGTGTACTCACTGCACATTACTGACTTAGAGATGACTATTTAAGTTTTACTAGGTCTAATGTAACAGAACTTGACAAATCATATTCTGTATGACACATTATGATAAATTCAAAAAAGCCGTGGCATAGAGAAATTTGATTTAGTAAAGCACTACAAATTAGATTGCTTGACTGTTGATGTATGAAATGCCGGGATGTAGTTCATATGATACTTACGGCACAGGATCATTCTGAGTGTCGATGTGCAGCGTTTGGTTGACTGGGGGCTGCTTCAGCTCTGTAGCTTTCTGTCTTGGCTGAAAGTGACATAAGCTGTTAAGAAGCTTCAAGTCATTATTTTTTAAAGGTTTAGATACCAAAATGTTAGCAAAAGAAATACTACTTCAGCAAAAAATAGTTTTTTGGGTTAGTTGTTTTTAAAGCATAAATTGGATTTTAGTCTAAATCTTTTCTTAGGTTAAGTTTAAGTATTCCATTAATCCATAAGGACAACAATATGCTCTTGTAAAACTAAACCAATATGCAAATTTTAATTCTATCACAAATACACTGTACCCCTACACACAAAAAAGGAAAACCTGATAAGTTCTTCAACGATATAACAGTGAGCTATAATGTAGTATTTGAATGCTATGTGTGTAATTGTAACTGACCAGAGAGGTGTAGCTGACGGGGCGTGGCGGGGTGTAGTGGTGTTGAGACATGACGGAGCCCATGTGTAGACTGTGTGCAGCGGGGGAGGCAACGGGCTTGGTGGGGGTGTTGACTCTCACAGGGCTCACTGTAAAACAACACAATGCAAATATTGATAGAATGTCTCATTGCCATGTTAAGGCTGTTGCTAGTTTTAGTATACAAAAGAATTTAGTTGAATAAATTTAATAAAATTGAATAAATTTGAATAAATATGGGCCATCTACAATTAAAAGTGCGAAGCTCTTAATTTTTAGTTCACCAACTTTTAAACCAAGCCTAACTTATTGTGGAAATTATAGTAAACTTAAGCATATTTTATGTTGTATTAACTGTAGAGCGGTGCACTAAAGGAAAGGCTCATTTGACTATGTCGTATTTCAATACTAAATTGCCTATACTGTAGCTGCTTCAATACATAGGATGTATAATTTACTATCACAAATACAATTATTACATACTGGTATACCCGTTGCTCGAAATCAAGCAGTTTTATGACAGTGAATTTGAAATAAACAACCCTCGCAACAATTTAAGATTAATTCATTAGATTCGACTTATTAAATAGGCTACTAAGTAACTTCTGGAAGTACTCACTCTGTTAATAAATGCTCTTCATAAACAATATTTATTGTAAATATTTCATATTTTTTGGGGAGATGACCTTATTTATTTGTGTTTCATAAAATAGTTTAAGTAAAACAACTATTAAGCAACAATATTAAACAAATAGCATACACAGACCCCAACAGCACCTCCTCCATGAGGATCAAAACAGGGACTAGCGATTGCAAATCGTAATGGAGGTTTTGGTATAAATTGTCGTAGCGTCTGAACGATCGCGCCTTATTCAAACCTATTTGGACACACTTGTGCAATTCAGATCGAAAAAATAATTGAAGCATGTAAACGTATCTTAAAAATTTCACACGAATTCAGTACAATTTATCAATCCCTCTGATATGTTTAGATTTCTTATCAACACTACCACTGAATTTTCTTTTTCTATTTGCCGGTGTTGGTGCAATATTGGTACAAACTATTTAATATTCTGTTGGATATTTGTTCTTTTCCTATTTATCGTCTGATATTATATAAATACTTGAATGTACTTTCTCGAGTACTTGTTCCCTTCCTCGACCAAGATGGTCTACTACGTCTTGGAGGCAGACTTCGTCATGCCGATCTGGTACAAGACATCTGTCATCCATATCTTCTACCAAAGCATCATCACATAGTTGACATTTATATCAACTATATTCACTGTAATCACCTGCATTCTGGTGTGCACTTAAGCATGTCGCTGCTCTCTCGACATGTGTGGATCTTGTCTGCAAGAAGTGTAGTTCGTTCTTGTATTTTCAATAGTCTGCTATTGCAGTTCTATTCCTTAACGTTTCATTTCTCTAATACAATCATGTTGATACTTACTTGCCCTTTCTCCAGGTTCAACCAGAACTTCAACATAAGATACAGGAAATATTCCCTTTCTGGTACCAATTCTTCCTTCAAACCAGTTGTTGTCCACTCTTCTTGTTAAAACTATCAGTTCTCCTGAAACACATTTACACAGTTAAAGTCCTTTTTGTGTTCCAGTAAGTTAAATTTATGAAGGAAGTATCTGTGTTATACTAGGGACCTGTCCTTTCACTTGATTTGATTATTTCCTTGGGACAATTAGTATGGAATCCATTAAATAAAACTGTAAATCAATACATACTATACATTTTGAGCACAGTTATAAAAAATAGAGTAGGCCAACCTCAAATTAGTAAAAATTGAAATCCTTTTTTCAAAGTTTTGGTTTTCAACTAAATTATAAATGGTTTCTTTTTACAACAAAATGTTTGCTTAATTTTTAGTTTAGTTCGGTGAACCCCTTTTTGTATTGTATGGTTTCCCACCAAATGATGATTTGTGTCTAATTCTGGTAACAATCTGTTAATTCAATTGGATGAAAATAAAATACCTTTAACTAAAGGCAGCTCCAGATGTGTTTGCGCCTGAAAGTTGAACTTTGCTCTTGCCTGTCCCTCAGTAGGTCTCTTAGGAACAGTTCGTATACCATCATAGGGGATAATCTGAAATGTGCAATTAACATTAGGTGATACTACACTTATCCTATACCTTTCTTACACTTGCAGTCAATTTAATGTTTGAATAACTTCTTGATCAGCATCGAACGTGTTATTAAATTACCTGAAAAAACAAAAAAAGATATACGTCTAATAACACTAGTAACAATATGTTTACACTTATACTGTTGACGATCCGTATTCCATAAATCCCAGGCCCCCCCCCCCCCCCCCCCCGGTAACCCCCCAGAATATAGGTCTAGGACCGCACTTGATTGTGAAGCACATGTACAGCAGTGTTTTATATTTTTTACTGAAGATCAAGTTTAAGTGATATATTACCTCAACGTAGTTGATTGGGAAGAGTCCAATCATTGCGTTGTGTTCTCCTTCATACCAGTTCTTGTCAATCTGCCTTCGAACATAGATAATATCCCCTCGTCGGAAAGTCAACTCTCTATAAGAAAGTAAAAGCAAATTATAAATAATAAATTGGCAAGAATAAAATCTAGGGCTAAAACAGGCTAATCTACTTATCACTCACTGGATGTTATCTTGTTTTATGATCAGAATACAGTTGGTATTTTATTTTTTGATAGGAAAATAATACCAAAATATGATCTTTGTTCCAAATATATTTTTATTGTTATTTTGACACCCCCTTCCGAAACATAAAAAGTCTATTATGTTTTAAATCTATATTTTTGATACGCTAGGTATATTTTTGTCATAATTGTTTTGGAGCGGTGGTGCTACCAATCACCATGTCCAAGGTGTCGTTAAAAAGGTCTTAGCATGTAGTTTTGCCATCAAACAAAAAAACTTCGTAATTCCATCAGGACTCTGCCCCAGTGGCCTTCAAAGTTCCCATGTTATTCTTAGGGAGAAAATGTTTGTTTACATTTGATGGGATGAATACTTTGAAATTGACGCTAATATTTGAAACAGCTGGTTATACTAAAATTTGAGACTTGTGCTATAAGGATTTATTAGATTAGTTTAAAAGATTGATGCAAAAGATTCACTGTTTTAAACCAGTTATTATTTGCACAAAATCAAAATATAATTAAAAAAAACAAAAAAACAACACAATGGAGACTATAAGATGCCGACCAGGACGGCCAATAGGAGGAGGCCGACGAACTTAAACTGGTAGACGCGAACGAAATGCAAATAATACTATTGTCGTTGATAGCCAAATACAGCAAGCACACTTCCATGTTGGGTTTAAATCGGAGAGAACAGGAAGAAGTCTTGGATAGGAAAAATCTGGAGACGAGAAAATTAAACTTGATGAGAGACAAGGAAACAACTAACTGAGACGTTTAGGGAAGTAGATAGAGAAATAGGAAGAGAAAAAGAGAAAAAATAACTAAGAAAGAAAAGAATGAAAAGTTCCCAATGAAGGTGAGAGGAAAGGTTAGAGTGAATCCCAATGATCCCTATCACTAGGGCAGAAGGAGGAAGGGAGCCATGCCCTTAGGGTTTTGGACACATATTGTGTCTGGATGAGGATTGAAAGTGGCCAAAGCCTGGGAAGAAAGTAGATCATTCACAGGAAATCGGTGTGGTAAATAAGTCGAGGCTTCAGAGGTGGTGATGGGAACGAGAGGCTTTGGTTTATCATTTAGGCTATCATTGATTTAACAAAAGAGAATCGTTTATTGACTTTCACTAAAAAACTGCAAAAACAGCACGTTAACTGCAAACTTAATTAGGCCTTTAACCATCTCCACCTTTAACAACAAAACCAAGAAACCAGAAAAGGTCAAATAAAAAAGATCAATAAAAATGTTTCTTCTCCTATGTCTATATTGAGCACGATTACGTGCGCCAGGTTCGCTAGTTTGGTTTAAATTCATCAATCGAGAAACAAAAACAGGTTTTCCCTAAAATGACTATTATTTTTGTCAGAATCAAATATATTTACCTATTTGGTAAGGTCCATACTTTTAGTTGTGTAACATACAAAACCCTTTTCCCCCCTTACTTTGATTTACCTTTCCTTCAGTACTAAAACATGCCTATCTAAATACTATACAGAGGTTTCCATCATGATCACAAACAACAGTTCTTGGTGAAGCTGTCGGGCTCCAGACCTTTACTAATTTCAAAGTTTAAATAAAAAAAAAACAAAAAAAAACAATTCTCTGCAACAAGAAATTGCATAGATTTTTTTGAAAAAGCTGTAAAATATCTTGAAAATTGGCAAACTGTAAAAAGATCTCACATCAATAGGCTGCAAATTGTACTCAAATTGTAATTGTGTTATAACTGTTTAAGCTCAATCTGATGGTCATGAAAATGTTTTATCGGGCAACTACTAAGATGCTATTGTCATGTTTATTCCAAGCAAGAGCACAGTTTTTTTGTAGCTTTCCTCATATCTAAAGGTCTTTCAGAGATAATTTTTTTAAATTCATCATTCAAAACACTTAAAAAAATAAATGTTGAAAATTGTAATCGGTCTGATATCCAGCATTTTACTGTTTACTCTTCAAAGTCCTTGCTCTTAAACAGAGGTTTAAAATACCTTAAAGACTGGCCAACAAAGTTGTAGAGTGCGCGAGCCACCAGCTTGGGCTCAGGTGTGCGGTCTCGAGGCCGTCCAGGACTGCTGTCATCCACAAAGTCATCATAACGATTCAGAGGAATCGGGGACTTTTGTGAAGGTCTAAAATACAAGAATATCAATGAATAAATTCCTTTACAAAACTAATAAAAAAAAAACAAAAAAAAAAAAAACTGAAAACCAAGTAGTGCTCAGTTTGAATTAAAGAAAACAAAGATAATAAAAACAATTTAAAATTAATGATAATCAATTAATGTTTATGTGTGTTCTATGGAAAGTATTTACGGTTAAAACAGCTAGAGTGAAGCGACAAAGGATTAGATTTTTAAAGAACCTTATATTTAGAGTCAGGTCGTTAAATTTAATTCATTCCAATAAGGGAGCAAGCTAGTCTAGTGGTAGAGCATGGGACTTTGGTCCCAGAGGTTGCAGGTGATTTTATCTAAGTGATAATGCCGCAACCCCTAGCTCTAGGTCTAGCCTTAAGTAATGTGAAAAACAATTACGGGCTAGAGCATTAAATTGTGCTAAGCTCTACATTTTCTGAGTAGGCTAAATTTTGAAAGATTATATTATTAAAAAGCCTATTCTATATTGTATTTAATAAAGATAGTCCAAAGATAGTTCCTGATAGAAAGTTGTCTAATACACTTAAAGTTTAGGTATTTGGAAACTGCGATCCTGTATGGTTCTTGCTCCATTAGCATTTAAATTTTTGAAAGTAGAAAATTCCCACTCGTACCTTACCATAACGTTAAGGAAACTAAATAAGAAACTTCTAACAGTGACTTCTTTTGGATACTGAAGTAGATATCTCACTTTTATTACAGAGCAGATCTAGCAAATTTAATATTTGTATGATATTAGAGTCACAAATGTAGGTCAAATTTTTTCCCCATCTTTAGCCTAGTATAGTTTGCTATTTGAGCAGTCGGTAAAATGGCACCCGGTGACCTATACCTGCCATTCAACTGCAAAAATAAACTTTTATTTTTTTAGTATAGGACGCCATTTTCAAGCAGTCAAGAAAATGGCGGGCGGCGACCTATACTCGCCATTCACCGCAAAGGGTTAATTTATAATGAGTAAACATTAGTTTACCACTTCCATTAGTGTTATGTTATGATGGGGATGGAGTACATCGTTAAATAAATACCCACTTACAGCAGGCTGTACTGCTGACAAAATCAGATTATAGTGTAATCATATTGATGTAAAATAGAAGATGCTATAAAGTAAAATGAGTTATCTTTTAAATTTGGCTTTGCCCTGGAAAGTTTATGGCATATTTAGCAGAAGCTGAATACTCTGTTGGTGGCTCACTAAGTGTTTATAAGTCTTAAACTAAGTTCATTTTCATTCTAATACTGGCTATAACCTCAAAATGGGAATGTCTTGTCTAGTTTTATCCATTGTCAAAGATACATTACTATTGTTTGAGTACATATTAGAAGTATTTACATGAAGTTGTCGGTGTGGCGCCGACTGTACATGTCCTGCAGTTCCTGTAGGTACTTGCGCCGTCGCTCCTCCTGGTAGATGCGCCGCATGGCCTCCGCTTGGCGCCGCTGCAGCTCCTCTTCAGGCCAGGCCTCCTTCTCCTCCGACCGCACGGGACTGCGGTAGTGGATTGTCACCTCAGACTCCACATAACGGTGCGGTGACTCTGCACATACACAGTACAACTAAATAACGAACATTTCAAACCCCATTTGTGTTGCTATATAACGTCCACCTTTTATTAATTAATTGATAGTTCAAAAAGAAAGATAACTGGGTCTAGAAACAATCTCACTCGGGATCAAGCCAGCGTAACCTTGAGAAGAAGGATCTTCATCTGAAGAAGAATCACCACAACCTATATTGTCTATCCAAACAATTTGTGACGGAAGAAAAATATAACAATGCTTCACTTTTAAAAACCTCATAAAATAGTTATTAGTGGATGATTAATTAACAATTACTCTTTCAACTTTGCATTTCACAACAAAATAAAAGTAAGTGCAATACAGTTAACCTTCCAGAGGTCGCATCACGGAAGTAACCTCCAGGGATGTTTTATTTTTTGCAATTATATTACTGTATTTTGAGTGGTGTCGGCAGTGTGAGTGTCACTGCACCTCATTCCTAGAATCAAGTGAAGGCCAAACTCACCTCTACTATTTTATATTTGTTAGTTTTGTTCAGTTTTGTAAGAGGCTGGAAGTAGCTTCCGTGTGCGCTCTGCCGATTCTTGTGCAGCCTGGAGGCAACTTCCGTGTGCGACCTCTAGTTTAGTGTGTGCGTTGATTATTGCGTGTAAATAATTACTGTAAATAATTATTTTTTTACGATTCATGACATTATTTAGTAAATATATAGTTTTTACAAGATGAGTAAAGAAGGTAAATTCAAAATTGCAAACACTCTTAGCCAGTGCTGAAAGTGAGATTCACGGACGACGTATGTACAGAGTCATTAGTATTAAGATACCCATTATGTTAAATTACTTAAAACATCAGGTATTGTGAATTTCATCACTTTAACCACATTGTAGGACATTTTGGTAAAATTAACTTCTTGAATATATTCTTGTAAAAGATTTCTTCATGTACTTTTATGTTAGAACATATAATAAAATAATAGTTTAATTTTATATTTATAAAATCTAATTAAGTTTTTTTTAAATTAGGATTTCACTAAACACATTTTGATGTTTAAAATTAAAAATAAAACTTAATTTGTGCACTAAAATTTACTTCATAAATGTTTGTTTTTATTGACCTGGAAGTAACCTCCAGGTGCGCCCTCTCCTGTTTTGAAAACCAATGCACCCTCTGAAAGGTTAAATCATAGATTAAACATACTCCTTTAGGGAGTATGTTTAATCTATGGTTAAACCCATAGTTGCAGTATGGTCAAACAAGTAAAGTGTTGGATATTCAGATGAGTGTATGCAAAGGAAAGAGAAATAGAAATCAAAGATCAAAAAGTGATAAATTCTTTTAATCAGGTCAATTAAATATAACTAACATTCATAAGTAGCAATTGGAGTGCAACGATGGCACCAGTTAGCTACTTGCTGCGGAATGTACGACAACAGGCCTGTTTTTTAACCCGTTTTGACTACGTGTGTGTTTTGTATGAAAATGTTTTTGTGTTATTACAACGCATTTTGGCTGAACAGTCTGATGGGACAGTGATGCTGAAACATTTGTTACAATTTAGCGAAGATAATATTGCAATTTAGCTATAGAACCTCAGGGGCTAGAAAACATGGATATTAAGAATATTCGTCATGTGTGTTGTTTTTAAATAGGGATAGGTATATTAAATGTTAAAAATTGTGAATTCTATTTTATCAATGCCACATCCTGAAATAGCATAAAGATGAAATAACTGTCTAAGTTTGACAATGTATTTTGTGTTCTACTGCTGTAAGTTGCAAAGCCTCAATTTGACTTTTGAGCCACTATTTTGACAGATATCATTTTGTTAAGAAGATCAAGCTCTAAAATATTTTAATATTTTAACCAATAACATCAAATCCTCTTAAAATAAAATGGTAATATATAATACTATGGGGATATCATACATCAGCACTCCTGTTTGGTTCACTGATTCAGTCCCTAGCTCTGTACACATTCAAACAACTTATACAGACAGGCTTTATACTTTTTGGTTCAGGATACAAGATTCAGATTCAGGAACTAGTTTTGTGGCTGCACCTGATGGTATCAAGCATGTCTATTGTCTATAGCCTACTATTCCGCCTAAGTCTAACACAATTAAGCTCTCAATAGCCATGAACACTATTATGTACTGCAGAAGAATAGCTAATTGTATATACATTTCCTATGTTCATTCATATTTTAAGATTTTTTTGTTAAAACTTTTTACAATTTGTAATGTTTTTTAAATTTTGTTTCCAACCTATATGAAGGGTGCTAAAATCTGTGATGAATTAATAATACTGTAGAAAGGTATCAAAATATACATAAATTACAGGTCCAATAATAAAATAAGTACATAAAATAGCCTGTCACGAGAATTGCATGATTTCAATCACTGTAACTATTTCTGTTAGATTAATTCAGAGGCAGAGTCAATTTTGAAGCCTGAAAGTAAATACACAAAAAGACTGATATGGTTAGTTTTGATAATACCAATATAAAACTAATTAACAAATTAAGATTACCCATTTTTAGAGAAAGAATGGATAGTGCATTCTAAATGTATTTAACTCGCATTGCTTTTATGATTATCTTTATAATTATTACGCTACATGAAACTTTGTCGGTTGAACTCCTCCGCCATTTCTTAACCGATTTTATTCATTGACGTCTCATTGGAAAGAGCGTGTCGCGTAGATTTGCAAACTGGCCTTACATTTTTGAAAAAGTCCCTTGGGCTCTGCCCCAGTGGCTTTGAAAGTTCCCATGTTATCCTTATGAAGAACACAATTGTTTACATTTTATCAGCTGTATATTTTAATTACTGTTATTTATTTTTCAATTCAATGAAACGCATTGAGTACATTTATTTACTATTTGAGTTTGTGTAAACATAACCCCCAAGACGGATCGTGTTAGTATGGTTGTATCTTAAATTTGCCTATTTATCGTTTTTTGTGTAGCTATGACGGATCGTGTTAGCATGATTGTAACTTAAATTTGTGCATTTATCGTTGTTTTGTGTAGCTATAATTTGTTATTTTTTTGTTATTTTATTCTTTTAAATGCCTCAGCCTCCGACGTGATGACAACGAAACATAGACAGAAGGCGTAATCGTGATAATGACCGCAGCTACAGAACAGTGGCGCGTAATAGGCTTAACTCATCGCAGTCAGCACCTGACCCTGGACAACCTCAACTATTAGCATTGACTTTATACACTACACATACATGTATGTGTAGAGATATAAAGTCAATGCTATTAGGTTACAAAAGCGCCCTACCCCAAAACGACTTTTCGTTCTCAATTGGCCCTCTATCAATGACCTGGCTGTGGCCTGTACAGCGAGGCATTTTGAGAAGGAGAAAACCGGCCGGAATGCTTTAGGTTTATCAATAACGAAGATAAACATGGTCTGAGTTACACACAGGTAATCTTTGAGTTGACTCTTTTAAACTCATTGTAAATATTCGTTTTGAAATAACTCCTGTACTACTTTGCAATTGCTCGAATTCGAGCAACATGTACACTAGTTACACTCAACAAGGGAAATAAATTTGTGTTAATCCAAAAATAACTCAACATAATTAATTGCATAATCATAGTTTAAATTTGGAAAAAATATTACTAACATATTGGGAATCTATGATATAGACACAAATTTAAACACTTAAAATAAATAGCTTAATGACAAAAAGTTTTAAGATTAAAAAAATATAACATTTTAATTCACGAAGGATTAATTTTTAGCCCATGTATTAGCTCAAGTATGTACAGCATTGATTTTGGATACTGAAGAATATTTTACGTGTAATGTCTGTAGCAAAATATTTCATTCACATAGAAACAGGAGAAAGGTTTAAAGGAGTGATGATAAAGTAGTTTTAAAGATAATATGTTCTGTAATTATAATCTTGGCCTCTGTTAAAAGCTACCAACCAACTTACATGTTAGGAAAACACAGGCTGGATACCGTGTGTTGAGTGTATATAGTTATAGCTAAAAAATACAAGATAATAAAATATGTAGCATAAACATCCGTTGGATTTTAGGCATTATTTTTCTAACATATGTCAAATAATAGTTAAAAATTAAAAAAGGTATAGACCCAAAATAAAATTTAGTATACATATTACGTTTTGTAGTGGATTTTTTTTAAATTTTATGATGCATTAAGGCCTACTGCATTACATAGAAAGTGAATATATATCAATACATCAATCAATATCAATTATTTAATATGGGGACGCCACTGTGCGTATTTTAACCCAAATATGAGTGAAGGATGAGTGGCGCGATCTTGTAGTCTTGTTAGTGACTAACGACGTATTCCTTAGACACAGCTGTTAATTAATAGCCCATACAGCTAATGGCAACTAAGGGACCTACAGTTTATAGTGGAATCCGAACCACATTTTTCCTTGTAATTAACGAACGTCTAATTAATTATCAGGATAGTACCGTACCTACTGCGGATAGTCGTAGTACTCACTAGTGCGGACGTTAATGAATAATGAATGAAAATAGAACTTAAGTTTGTTTGGAAAATGGATTAAAGATTATTTTATCTATTATTGTATATTAATAGGCAAGCATGTTTATTGAAAACCTTTTTTCTTCTCAGCTCTTTTGCATCACAGGGAAAATCTGCCCATACTGTTGGAAAGATATTTACGCCACACTACACTATTTTGACGAACTTCCCAATCAAGGATTTAGTCCAGAAAACAGCTGTTTGCCGCCAGCTTATTCAAATGGGGTTTCATTGCGTACTACTGTACTGTAATGAGTTTTACCGGACACCAATCAGCTGATTATACTGTATTTGTGGCAATGAGTGGTTATAAACAAAAACATGACCTCTCATGACTAGTGATTTTTAGTCCTTTAGTTGGTGGAAATATATAAGGATTTGTACAGATTTAGTAGTATGGCGTAAACTATCGTACGTAACTCGTCCAAAATGTGCGTACCGGACTCCTATGGTAATCCCGTACTCGACTTCGTCTCGC